TTTAGCATACCACATTCCGTGTTCCTGCTTCTCAGATTTAAAGCTCCAAAGAGACTGGGAAGTTGTGTTCCACTCTATCTCTTGACAGGTTTTCTGGGAATAGCTTAATCCTCCCCCTCTGGTAAGTTTTAAGCTACTCCCATCAAAACTGACTAGCATGTCCAGGCTTTAGAATAGTGTTTCTCAAGCTGTGCTCCTCCAGGTGTTTTGGACTTCAGTTCCCAGAAATCCCAGTCATCTTACCAGCTGTTAGGAATTGTGGGAGCTGAAGTCCAAAACATCTGGAGGAGCACAGTTTGAGAAACGCTGTTTCAGAAAGTAGCTTGGGATCCTTTCTACCACCACAGATTCTCTTCTCAGAAGCTATTACTAAAAGACAGTACTTGAAGAGTAATGGGCAGCTGTAGCATACCAGATGCTGTTGTGCTGCAACTTCTATCTGCCATAGATAGCACGGCACACACACCAGGGCTTCATGGAAGTTCCAGTTCAACATGAAAGAACTATAGGTCTGTTGCTCTACATCAGTGGTTCTCAACCTGGGGTCCCCAGATGTTTTTGGCCTACAACTCCCAGAAATCCCAGCCAATTTACCAGCTGGTAGGATTTCTGGGAGTTGAAGGCCAAAAACATCTGGGGACCCCAGGTTGAGAACCACTGCTCTACATTATATGTATATATACACACATACTTTAAGAGAATAGGGTAGATCTTGAAGCCCAACATACTAGAACTCTTGCTACTGATGTTTGCTTCTAGGCTCAAACAGGGAGACCCTCTGAGAAATCTCTTGCTTCCTGTCTGCCTTGAAGCCTGGTTCTTGACTAGATGGGGAGGTATCTCTTAGAGAAGCATCAGACATTCCTATAGCACAGTCTCAACTTAGCATCCACCTAGTTGTGCTGAACTACTCCAAACAGCATGGCTATGGGGATGATAAGCATTATAGTTCAACACAGCTGGAGGGGTGTGATTTCTCACACATAGCTTTACATCAGTGGTTCTCAACCTGTGGGTCCCCAGATGTTTTGGCCTTCAACTCCCAGAAATCCTAACACCTGGTAAACTGGCTGGGGTTTCTGGGAGTTGTAGACCAAAAACATCTGGGGACTCCAGGATGAGAACAACTGCTTTACATTTTGTAGAGCTAGTTGCTCAACTCACAGATCAGGAATTTCCTCAGCAGAGCATTAGGCTAAAACAGTGATTTCTAAATTCTGATCATCCAGAAGTTTGGACAGCAGTTTCTGTTACTGTGGTCAGTGGTCAGAGATTCTGGGAGCTGAAAGACTGGGAATCACTGGGCTAAGGGAAGTCTTTCAAAGAGCTGCCCTTTCTCCTGCCATCTTTGTTCAAGCTTGCTGTTGTTCTGGGCAGCCCCTAGCTTTCTCCTAGCTCCTTCTAATTCAGTGGTTCTCAACCTGTGGGTCACCAGATGTTTTGGCCTTCAACTCCCAGAAATCCTAACAGCTGGTAAACTGGCTGGGATTTCTGGGAGTTGTAGGCCAAAACACCTGGGGACCCACAGGTTGAGAACCACTGCTCTACTCCTCTCTGGAAGGTTAGGAGCTTTCTTGCTTTCTTATATGGCTAAGCTCAATGATAAAAGGTATTCCTCTGGATATCAGCCAGCATTTCTGAAACTTGCAGCTGATGTTCAGTCTCATAGTCAAGCATCAGATGAGGGCGATGCTTTCAGATATGCTCCTAGCTACCTGCCATCTTCCTAAGGCCTACTGATCTTTTTGGAATCTTCTAGCAGAATAACATTCTTGATGCATGTTTACGGGAACTTTTTCTTAGCTTGTTTTCAAAACTTTAGGCAAGCTAGCTGATTTAGCAAAAAACTTCACTGAGTAGCTAGCTTGGTACAAGCTTTCAGGTAGTGCTTCTTTATCCAACAGCTACCTTAAAAGTTGCTGCTAATCAGATGAGATTTTGGAAATCTCCCTGCTAAGCTCTGATCTGGGGTGGAATATTAGCTCTTTCTTCTGCTTCTCCTTCACTCCTAACATTCAGCTGGGCATTCGTGAATCTCACACTGAGCTTTTGCTTAAAGAAGGTTTTCAGCTAGCCTCCCTGCACCTTCCCTTTCACATAGTGCTTAGGAGGAAAAGAGCAAGCTGGCAGGGGAGCCCAGTTGGTAAATAAGGAATCTCCCACTCAGATTGCAAGCTTCAGGCAAGGTTTTGAATGGACCATTTTGCTTCTCAAAAAGTCCTCTCTCAGCTGGATGTTAAGCCTAAAATGATTGTCACAGGCTTAACATTCACCTGGGAGAGTTAGGAATTTCCTTAGAGCTTGGTGAAAACTTTCAGATAACTCTCTTCTGACTTGCTAGCTCACTTGAAACCTTTTCCTCACTTGGCCCGAACACTAGATTTGGAGCAGGCATCAACACAGATCCCCAACCCCTAGCTGTATTGTTACAGAACACTGGGATAGGGGCAAGCTTCCTTGCCTAGATCCCTTGAAAGCTGGAGCTGAGCTCGGAGGCTAGCAATATCCCAGTAATGTCCAGGCATGGGCAGGTAGCTACACTGCTGTCTTGTCAACCTTCAACACAGATCTCTTGCTCCCCACTACATTATATCTAATCCATAGCTGTATTGTCACAGAGCACTGGGATAGGGGCAAGCTTCCTTGCCTAGATCCCTTGAAAGCTGGAGCTGAGCTCGGAGGCTAGCAATATCCCAGTAATGTCCAGGCATGGGCAGGTAGCTACACTGCTGTCTTGTCAACCTTCAACACAGATCTCTTGCTCCCCACTACATTATATCTAATCCATAGCTGTATTGTCACAGAGCACTGGGATAGGGGCAAGCTTCCTTGCCTAGATCCCTTGAAAGCTGGAGCTGAGCTCGGAGGCTAGCAATATCCCAGTAATGTCCAGGCATGGGCAGGTAGCTACACTGCTGTCTTGTCAACCTTCAACACAGATCTCTTGCTCCCCACTACATTATATCTAATCCATAGCTGTATTGTCACAGAGCACTGGGATAGGGGCAAGCTTCCTTGCCTAGATCCCTTGAAAGCTGGAGCTGAGCTCGGAGGCTAGCAATATCCCAGTAATGTCCAGGCATGGGCAGGTAGCTACACTGCGGTCTTGTCAACCTGTCTCCTGCTGACTGAAAGGCCTAGATCTGTCTGTCATATTTGCTAGAACACAGGCAGGTTCCCTTATAGCAGGGGTAGGGAACCTTTGGCCCTCCAGCTGTGGTGGACTTCAACTCCCACAATTCCTTGAGGCTCGGCATGGGGCCAAGGTAAGCCTTTGGGGCGAATGCCGAGCCTCAAGGAATTGTGGGAGTTGAAGTCCACCACAGCTGGAGGGCCAAAGGTTCCCTACCCCTGCCTTATAGTATACCCTGCCAGCTTCCTTAAGTCCCAGCCACCCCTTTTGTCCTTGCCAGCTTCTTTGCAGACTAGCAAGCAGGATAAGGATCTGCCAGCTGAGAAAGGGGTGATTTTTCACCCCCCCCTATGCTTGCTGGGTTCTTGGTAGCCTACAGCTAATATGGGAGATCAAGAGTGTCCCAGTGATGGATCCGCCATAGGGCAAGCTTTCAAGTGTTCCCTGCCCCCCTTGCTATCTTTCTGAATGTTACCAATTAGCTCCTTGGTTCTCAACCTGTGGGGTTTTAGCCTACAACTCCCAGAAACCCCAGCCAGCTTACCAGCTGTTAGGATTTCTGGGAGTTGAAGGCCAAAACATCTGGGGACCCACAGGTTGAGAACCACTGAGTTAACTGGATGATCAGGAATCTCCCAGTGGAGCCTGAGTTTTGGGGAAGGATTTTAGATTGGCTTCCTTTTTCCTCACCAGTTTCCTTGACTCCAAATACCCCTCCCAACAGCCTCCCAAATGAGCCTTGGGGAAGGCTATCAGCTAGTTCAGATACTCCCCTCTGGCTTCCCTGAACTCTCCTGAGAAAGTAGGAGGCTGCTCAGCAAGCACCAGCTTCGAGAAGAAAGACAGAATGTTCTCTTCTCCTTTAGCTTCCTTCAGTTAAATGCATAGCATAAAACCGAAGCAGGAAGGAAGCAAGGAGCTGGTTGGTAACACAGCTGGAAGAAGAAATAATATCGAGGGTGACTGTAGGACTTGGAAAATGTTACATGGAGCCCTGAGCTCTTCTCACTACCTTTCTTCATGCTTCCCTCTCAACAGAGCAGCTAGGAGTTTCTCAACTATACGTAGCTCTAGATTGGATGCCTGTACCTCAACTGATTCCTGCTAGCTTCTACTTTAAGCTGAAATATAGCTGAGCCTGGAGTAACCCAAGCAGAGCTACTGGCAAGCTGGCTGGTTGCCTGTCCACTTCTTGCTTCTCTTCTGGAAGCTTTCAGCAAGACGACTTGGCTGCATGCTGTTCTTCAGGGAATTGGTGGTCTCTAACTATACTACCACATGACCTAGGATCTCCCGGTGGCACAGTGGGTTAAACCCTTGTGCCGGCAGGACTGAAGACTGACAGGTCGCAGGTTCGAATCCGGGGAGAGCGCGGATGAGCTCCTCTATCAGCTCCAGCTCCTCATGCGGGGACATGAGAGAAGCCTCCCACAAGGATGTAAAAACATCAAAATCATTGGATATCCCCTGGGCAACATCCTTGCAGACAGCCAATTCTCTCACACCAGAAGCGACTTGCAGATTCTCAAGTCGCTCCTGACATGACAACCCCCCCCCCCCAAACCCCAAAAAAAACACATGGCCTAATTCAAGCCTAACATTCAGCAACCCATGCCATTTGGGAGATTACTGACTCCACCCTCATGGAAAGATGTTTAGCTAAGATGTATGTGAAAAGCCAGCCTTGAAGGTAACCATCATCTCAGGCTAAATAATATTAACATATCTCAATAGAAATAGAAATTCTCATACCTCCATCTTCTCCCATGTGAGGGTAGTTTCCCCAAAGTGCCCTTTCTTCCAGTATGTCTGTTTTTTCAATTTTCCTAAAGTGCAGGCATTAAATAACAGCATCTTTCGTACTCACCAAAACCAAAGGCCAAGTTGAGTGAAGTGACAAAACGTTGGTTTCCAATCAGCCGTCTGCACCTCATTGGCAATCGATTCTACAGCAACAAGGGCCTCTTCTGTGTTTTTCCTTCACTTTGGCCTTAAAAACGGCCTCAAAAAAGAACATTTGCAATTAGTGACGCACTTAGAGCTGGCGTGAAAGTGTGAAAGAAGGTGTGAAAAAACAGCTACCATGGAGGTATATTTGGGGTACAAGGGATGACACGTGAAAACACTTTCAACAACAGCAAACTTCCCCTTTTTCCTCACTTTGTTTGCTTCTCTTCAAAACCCTAAATATGTGGCAGAGAAAAACAAGGCTACTAAATACTAAATAACAAGGCTACTAAATACCAGGTAACAAACAACATCTACTGAAATCTCATCTTCTACACAACCATTAAAGGCACACGAGTTCTTTTCACGTTTCCCCCTGGAAATCCTAGGGAATTGTCTCTTATGGAAGGATTCAGGGGTGGTAATTCACCTTTTAAAAAGTTGCCGACCTTCTTAATAAAGAACTGGCCACTTCAATTTGGCATTTTTGCTCTTTTTATAGATACATGTGCTGTATAAAATTCCATATGATTTACAGGAAAAACATCAAAGTTGGTTTCAGTGAAATGGAAAATGGATGAGAATTTCATAACTAAGCTGCCACCATCAATAAGTTCCTGATATATTAAAAGTTAAGATATTATATCAGAAACCATGTAGGACCATACCTGTGTATATACATGGCCCCTGAATTAACAGTATACCCGATGTACTGTTTTCATGGGGGTTGCCATATTTATTTATTATTTATTTATTATTTATTTACTTCATTTGTATACCGCTTTTCTCAGCCCTTAGGCGACTCAATGCGGTTAACAACAGCAAAAATTCAATTCTAAACGTCATAAAAACAGTTATGGGACACTTAAAACAATAACATAATAAACAATTAAACATCAATATAACATCTCATTAGCGTCTCATCAGTAGAATCAAGATCCAATCTCATCATCCGTTATTCCGTATTCCTATATTTATTACACTGCCTATTCAAATGCCTGCTCGAACAACCAGGTCTTCACTTTCCTCCCAAATGCCAGTAGGGAGGGGGCCGATCTAATATCTGTAGGAAGGGCATTCCATAGCCGAGGGGCCACCACTGAGAAGGCCCTGTCTCTTGTCCTCGCCAGACGTGCTTGTGTTGCAGGCGGGACTGAGAGCAGGGCCTCCCCAGATGATCTTAATGTCCTAGCTGGTTCATAGGAGGAGAAGCATTCGGTCAGGTAAGTTGGGCCAGAACCGTGTAGGGCTTTATAGGCCAAAGCCAGCACTTTGAATTGTGCCTGGTAGCAAACTGGTAGCTAGTGGAGCTGTCGCAACAGAGGAGTTGTATGCTCCCTGAGTGCTCTCCTGTTAGTATCCTGGCTGCTGAACGTTGGACTATTTGAAGCTTCCGAGCAGTCTTCAAAGGCAACCCCACGTAGAGTAGTAGTCTATATGGGATGTAACCAGAGCGTGGACTATCGTGGCCAAGTCAGACTTCCCAAGGTACGGGCGCAGCTGCCGCACAAGTTTTAACTGTGCGAATGCTCCCCTGGTCACCATTGAAACTGAGGGTCCCAGGCTCAACGATGAGTCCAAGATCACACCCAAGCTGCGAACCTGCGTCTTTAGGGCAAGTGTAACCCCATCCAAGACAGGCTGTAACCCTATGCCCTGTTCGGCCTTGCGACTGACCAGGAGTACCTCTGTCTTGTCTGGATTCAATTTCAATGTGTTTGCCCTCATCCAGAACGTTATAGCGGCCAAGCACCGGTTCAGGACCTTGTACAAGGTACCTGTGGGCTATCAAGAATCCAGTGTCATTCCCCATCATAGGGTTTTTTGGGGCCATTGAATGTGTGAGTTGCCGAAGGTCATTCAGTGGGTTCTTATGACTGAGCAGAGAATTGAATCCTGGACTCCAGAGCTGTAATCCAACATGAAAATCTTCTAATGCAGCTTGGCAGCAGTATAATAAAAGGAAAGTCATGCTACAGGTGGAAAGTAGCATCAAGGAAGGCAAATCTCTGATGTACAGGATCATGGCAGAGATGTTTAATTCCTCTACCATTTTATTTTGTGTTTGTTTTATTGTACATTTCGCTATTGTATGCATGTTACTTTCATACTATTATTTGTTTGTATTTTGTTTGGCTTCATTGTAATTTTTGGGCTTGGCCTCATGTTAGCCGTCCCGAGTTCTTGGGGAGATGGTGGCGGGGTATAAATAATGTTTATTTATTTATTTATTTATTTTACTGACACAAAAACACAGTATGTCACAGCAAAGACGATCTATATGCTGCATTTCATATCACAAAATCTCAAGTCGAACACTTCCCAAGTGTCGAGGACTGTGTGATGAATATTCGAATTGTGGTATTATTATTATTATTATTATTATTATTATTATTATTATTATTATGCTGGTATGGCTGTACCAAAAAACTCCAACTTCCTTTCCTTTCTTTGAGTGTTTGCATGTATTCCAAAGTTCCATGCATTTTGCAATAAGGTGGCTTCCCTTGGTTTGCAATTATAGGGCCAATGACCTATCAATCATTGTTAAGTTTTGGTTCCGCCCCTTTCCCCAGGGCTCTGGGAGGAGAGGGAGCCATTTTAGTCAGTCTTGCATTGGAAAGCTTAGCTACAGGACGTGGATTAGCTCCACCTGTAGAGAAGCTACATTTCTCACAGCATCTGGGGGAAACAGCATCCGGGGGAAATTCTGGGGGAAAACAGTTCCAAAGGACTCCAGCTGGAGAATCTACAAAGCCTTGACTGGTAGGTCTACTCGGGACCCAAGAAGCAGTTTGGAGCCAGGAGTAGAGCCCACACCAGCAAAGTTTAGAAAGTAGATTGCCCAAGGAGGGGTTAAAAAGGGTTTTCCTCTTAAAGAAGAGAAACAGTTCACAAAGCCAGTTGCCTGTCCCTTGTGGACAAGATTAAGAAAGCCACCAGTTGATTCAAAGCCTTGAAGTATTTGTTTGACCTGTTGAAGATCTGAGAAGTATTTGATTGTTTGTTGAAGACTTAAGTAATAATAAAGGACTTTGTTAAACCTTTCGAGCGTCTAAAGACTCTGTATAGGAAAATATTTAGGGCCTCTCACTCGAGGCACCCTAGTTTCCAGCTGGGCACAAAGAGCACGTCCTGTTCAAAAGCCAACTGCTATAGGCGCAGCGCGTGACAGTACAATTATTATTATTATTTTTAATAACAGGGTATCTTGGACCTCAGTCATTCATAGGTCACCATAGCTTGGAGCCAATATTGACAATTAATAATAATAACTCCAATTCTATTCTTTACCTTGAGATGCCAAGCACAAGACCAGGAATACCTTCAAACTGTATAGTTAAGATACAACTATCATCTTCCTGCAGATGCATAGGTGTCTCTACTGATGTCAGAATGAGGTGCCAATGGTGGCCATATTGGGCAGAAATTGGTGACCATGGTAAGGGCTTGCCATGGATCTCTGAAGTTGGCTGGAAGTGGCGATGACTACATGAAATATGAGGTAATGTTCCAGTAAGGCCAATGTGGTCTTGACACTATCACAGCACTGCATTAGGTCATCAAGGCCCTAGGCTGGCTGTGGATTTACCAACTAGTATAAACTAATCCTTGGAAATAAAACTCAGCAAACTTTCTGGAATCAAACACCCATTAAAATTATAGAAACAGTGTGGGCGGCAGATGTACAATTTTTGGACCTGGAGATGAGTTTTGGATAGTGTGGACCTTTTGCTGCTGTAATTCTGATTTTTGAGAGCCAGTACTAAATAATACTTCACACACTTTATGGGTCTCTGCATCCTTTATCTAACTCCATAGTATTTTTTAGGAGAGGACTCATTGAATTGTAACATGGTTGAAAACCTTGGCACTCATTTAATCCGATGGTAACAGAGCTGAGAACTGAAGATCTCCATGAACAGTTTGGTAAGTCATTCTGTGAACAGATGTACCCTGTTTACTGCAAGGATTGTGGTCAGGTGTTTGTACTTTGGGCCAAAAGCAAGTGTAGATAAACAGAAGGAGAAGGCCACTTGTGATGTGTAGTTCTTGGAATAGAAACTCATTTCCGTACTGAGTTCTGGGTATGACTCAGCTTAATATAACAAATAGTGGTGTTTTCTGGACTAAACTAAAACTAAAGGATTCAACACACTTTTAATAACATTTTGCTATCTTTTCATGTAAATGTTTCTAGCATCAGTGGGGAAGCAATGCCTTGTTAATGTTTATAGAGATGCCACAAAATGGCCTAAATACAATTTTAATACCAAGTAGCGTAACCCATTGAATCAAAAGGAATTTGGCATATAGCTACTTAAATGATTCTCATAGATTCAATGGTCTCCTCTATTTGAGACTACCAGATGAATTTAGGTCAATATGAATGAAACCGTCAACACAGAACTAATTTCTCCAGAATAAGGAGAGCTAAAGTACAGATCAGATTGGGTATTTGTGTGCCTTATATAATGTGAATTTGTGATTTGAAAGAATTGATTTTTACACCCTCTGATATAATAATAAGAGTCCAAGACTATATACACTGAGTGGTGAATCCAGGATTAGTTTGAAGCAGAAATGCTTTACATGGCAGCAGGAACTGGCCACATACACCTTACCAAACCTGCTGTGGTGGTGGATTGGAGTCCACCAAACTACAACTGTTCTGTTGCTCGCTGGGCTTGAAGTGCCTTTAAAACAGGACGTACAGCTTGAGCCCAGCGGGAAGCCAGGCCCCCCGAAGAGAAGCTCTTAGGGATTTTCCACCACAAACAGTCTTTAGAGGGCTTGTGAAATATAACAAAGTCTTTTATTGAGGAACAATCAAACAGAAACTTCTCTTGTCTTCAAAAGGTTAAACAAATGCTTCCAGGCTTTTGTGCAACTGGTGGCTACTAACTGTTACTTTACTTTAAAGGAAAATCCCTTTCTAACTTCTCCCAGACTGACTGTGAACCTAAACCTAACTGATGTGGGCTCCACTACCGGGTTGAACTGCGTCTCAAAGCACCAAGTGGACCTACCAGCAAGGCCTGTAGTCTCTTCAGCTGGAGTTCTTTGATATTCAAAGCTGTTTTCCCCTCCGAACTTCCTCAGAGCTTTCGGGCTGTTTCTCTGGGAATCTTTGGGAATCTTTGGATGCTCTTAAGACTGTTCTCCCCTGGAAAGTCTTAAGGGTTGAAGCTTTTGTACAGGGGAAGCTTGCACACATCCTGTACATTAGTTTTCCTTGCTGAGACTAACAAAAAATGGCTCCCTTCCCTTCCCAATTGCCCTGAGCAAGGGGCGGGCCCAAAACTTAACGATGATGGACAGTGACTTGCCCTATGAATGCAACTGAAGGAAGCCACCTATCTGCAGAGTCCCTGAAACCCAGGGCTGCAAGCAAACATTTAATACAAAGCAAATAAAGTTGGAGCTCCTGGTACAGCCGTACCAGAACAACAACTCCTGTGATTCCATAGGTTCTAAACTGCATTAATTCTACAGTGTACATGAATCCTAAGGGCTCAAATCTGTTTGGCCACAGGTTGCATTCTCTGATGCCCTTCTACATTGCCATATAATCCAGATTATGAAAGCAGATAATCCACATTTTCAGCTTTAAACTGTCTTATGTATATGAGTCTACACTACCATATAATCCAATTCAAAGCATATAACCTGGATGTTACATGGCAGTGCAAAAAGCGGCCTGAGACTGAGGCTGAAACTACACTACTCTATATCATAGGATCTGATCCTAGATTATCTGCATTGAACTGGATTTAGGATCTTGTCATGCAGTGGCAGCCATGGAAGCTGCTGGTGTGCACTCTTCTTCATGGCGAAGAGGCTGGCCCTCCTCTCTCATCACCCCACATGGCTTCCCCCCCCATGGAGGCAGCCTTGATCTGGCAAGACGGGAAGCCTTCCATGTTGCCAGATCCATGGAGGGAAGCTACATGCACTATGTGTGTGCCTCGTTTCCTTCCATGTGATGGCAGTGCCATCCTGCAGAACGAGGCAAGGTGGGGAGAGGAGGACCAGCCTACTTTCTGTTGCTGCTGCCACGTGTGTGAAGAAGTCCTATATGAGTTTCCACTACCAGATAATATGGGATAAACAGATAATCTGGGTTCAGATCCTTGGCTACAGGGTAGTGTAGCTCTAGCCATAGGCCCCCTCTACTGTCATATAAAATCCAGCTTATCTGGTTTGAACTGGATTACATGACAGTATAGACTCATGTAATCCAATTCAAAGCTGATAATGTGCGTTATCTGAAAAAATGGATCACTGGTTGCCAACCTGTGGTTTGTGGAGAACTAAAATATGGTCCACGGCCTCACTGTTACTACACAGTTGCAACAAGAGTGATTGGTCTCACAAAACCCTCTTATAGTGCTGAGGCTTATTAAATATGGTTTTTTGTGGGTGAGCAGATGGCCACTACTGGATAGCATATGTTCTGTATCAGAAACTAGAGCTGATGTGATCTATCCAATGCAATTTTCTGAATCAGCACCCCAAATTACCAAACTGAATCTAGAGTTGACCAAAAACTGATTTGTAACCCTTTTTGCACTAATGTTGGTCAAAGTGGTCCTTGGTTAAAAAAAAGTTTGGGAATCACTGATCTAGATTATATGGCAGTGTAGAAGGGGCCTCTGAAGAAGGCAAAGGAAATAGCTTGCCAAGAAAACACATGATGACTTGGCTCTAGAATTCCCACAATTTGGAAATGGTTTGAAGGCACTCAAAAACTGTTCTCAGTCAACAACTGCTTGCTCCTTTCTCACTTCTGCTTTTTAAAAACTTGGCTTCTTTTCTCACACCTTTTTTTTTTTGCATTTTCCACTGACAGCATTGAGACTGCAAACTATACTTTTGGTTTATGAATCTTTGCAAAGTGCCATTTACACTGATGGGACTCCATTTTTACAATGTATACTTGTAATATTCCTGACTCTTAAAAATCTTCAATCACAGATGGATGCAGATAAGTATTCCATCACAGCCCAGCAGTACTCAATGGAAGAATGAAACCGGCAACAATATATCTAGGAATATATTTTAATATAGTAGCCAGGGATACAGTGCTTTAGTTAGGGTAAACAATTATATACTGGGATGCAAAGAAAAAGCATTACAATTATCATGAATTTGAGTACAAAAGAAAACAACACATAAAATGAACAATGAATCAAAGGATGTGCTTACATAAACTCATGCAACTTTGTCTAGTGCAGCGTTTCTCAACCTGGGGGTCGGGACCCCGGGGGGGGGGTCACGAAGGGGTGTCAGAGGGGTCGCCAAAGACCCATCAGAAAGGTGGAAGGTGAACTACATCTCCCCTAAATCACTGTCAATTCATCCTGAATCCTTCCAGTACGTTCTGTTGGTCATGGAGGTTCGATATTGGAAGTTTGGCCCAGTTCTATCGTTGATGGGGTTCAAGGGATCTTTGATGGTAGGTGAACTATAAATCCCAGCAACTACAACTCCCAAATGTCAAGGTCTATTTCCCCCAAACTCCACCAGTGTTCAAAATTGGGCATATTGAGTATTTGTGCCAAGTTTGGTCCAGATCCATCATTGTTTGAGTGCACAGTGCTCTCTGGATGAAGGTCAATGCCCACCAAACCCTTCCAGTATTTTCTACTTGGTCATAGGAGTTCTGTGTGCCAAGGTTGGTTCAGTTTCCATTATTAGTTGCGTTCAGAATGCTCACCGATTGTAGGTGAACTATAAATCCCAGCAACTATAACTCCCAAATGACAACATCCATTCCCTCCAACTCCACCAGTATTCAAACTTGGGCGTATTGGGTATTTGTGCCAAATTAGGTCCAGCGAATGAAAAGACATCCTGCATATCAGATATTTACATGACGATTCACAACAGTAGCAAAATTACAGATATGAAGTTGCAACGAAAATAATGTTATGGTTGGGGGTCACCACAACATGAGGAACTGTATTAAGGGGTCGCGGCATTAGGATGGTTGAGAAACACTGGCTAGTGCATTGTAATGCAATAAAAACCACATTTGTTGTATGGTTCATATACCCACCAATGTTAAGAGAAAGCAAGAATCTGGTCTCAGTTCAATAAATTGAGACTTCATAATAATTAATACCTAGTGCTATTCAATTTAGTATAATGCAATCAAATGCAACACGTCTTAATGCTGATAGGTGATAAAGTATAGTAAAATATTAATCAGAACATACCATAGTTTCAAGTTAACTGTTTAATGCTGTGAGTCTGACAGTTGACTAGCCTTGAGAATTTTAGGAAGACCCTTATTTAATTTATTTTTCTGCTCTATTACCCACCGGGTACCAAGTTAGACACTAGAAGTAAATTATGCCAAAGCTAACCACTTGATTACTACCAAAAGGCAAATTGTCTAGTCTTTTTTTGTTCTGTAAAGCATTGGAAGACTCAATTTCCCCTTTATCCTGGACTAAAAGCAGCAATAGAAGACAGTGGTATGATAAAACAAGTGCTAATGATAAAGTGGTGATGTAAAGTTTAATGCTCATCTTGAAAATGAAAGTCAGGCAATCTTAAACAGTGATTCCATGTAACACATGAACATGAATGGATATAATGCCTCATGTGAGCAACCTGGAGATGATGAAGAGTACTGAGTTCTTTCTAGTTGAAAGCAATAGGCTTTTTGAAAAGATCAATAAGCCCTTGGAGCCATGCATGGAAGAAACCTGATCAATCAATGGACTCAGTGCTAATTCTGCCCTTCTGATTATGGTCCTTTTTTACATGGCTGTAGGAGGATAACATTGAAGAAATATGGCCAAGATCTAAAGCGGAAGATCAAAAGTAGTGGCAACTCATCTCCTAATTTATCCCCTCACTTAGGGCCCTTCCACACAGCTGTATACAATCCACATTGAACTGGATTATATGGCAGTGTGGACTCAGGTAATCCAGTTCAAATCATATATTGTGGATTATCTGTCTTGATATTCTGAGTTATATGGCTATGTGGAAGGGCCTTTAAATAGATACTTTTTTTTGGTTCATGGAGTGGAAATACAGTAGACTCTCCACTCTGGTGAGTATTAGGGGTGCAAAGCCGGTCTGAAAGTGGGAAAATGCAAATAAACCACCTGTAATTGTTTTACCTGAGAGAACACTTCTCTAGGAATCTCTGGGTCCTTCATTGCAATCCTGTGGTCAATGTTTGTCAATAGTTGACCATAGAACTTTGCTGTAGGACCTAGGGATCCCTAAGGAAGAACATATAAATCAAATACACAAGTAATCAAATGTGCAAAAATCAAACCCACAAAGATAGAAGGCCAAATCTAGTTTTGCTTTTGAAAATAGGATGGTTTGATGGTATTGATTATGATGGTATAATAACACATTCACTTTGGACCTCTAGATTTGTAGTTTTGATGTAGACACTTAAATCTAGAGTTTTCTCTCAACCTCTTTCTTAAGAATTGTAAAGCAGAGCACACTTTGCTTCTCATGGATAGCTGGTGCACTTTTCATCCTTGTGCTCTGTTTTGTTTTTGAGCAATGACAACCTTACTCTGTGTTGCACAGTCTGGCAGATATGAGTCCGCAATTTGTAGTCTGTGGATTTGTAGTCTGGCAGATATGAGTCCACAACAAATTATTTCGTATACCTGATATTGGGGATAATGTTAGTATAGCTTGAAGCCACTTTTCCCAGGGGTTGCTTTGCATTCTTTGCACATTGAAGTCAGTTTGCCAGTGTCAGTCGTCCAAGCTGCCAAAGCAAAGCGAGTCCCACTGACATTAATGCTTGTTGTCACTAATGCTTTGTCTTCCTTTCAGAATTGTGAAACATTGAGCAGAGATAATGGAAGAGCTCTGAGGAAATGTCAAATGGAGATCAAATTCCATAAAGTCTTCATGGTGAGGAATAAATGATCATTATTTCACCTGTGGAAACAGAATTGGTGGGGGGAAAAACAAGAGAGAACCACATTATATTTGGGTTGTTGTAGTTTTTTTCGGGCTATATGGCCATGTTCTAGAGGCATTCTCTCCTGACATTTTGCCTGCATCTATGGCAAGCATCCTCAGAGGCAGTGATTCCGGCCATGAAAGCCTTCGACAACACATTATATTTGTTTGAATGAATGGAGTGAGATTGAAAACTTATTTAAGGGTATCACCTTTCCTACTGTAGGAAAGAGGAGAGTGGAGATGGCTCTTGTATCTTTAATGGCTGTGTAGGAGAGGAATTTTCAGTACAGTAGAGTCTCACTTATCCAACATAAATGGGCTGGCAGAACGTTGGATAAGTGAAAATGTTGGATAATAAGGAGGGATTAAGGAAAAGCCTATTAAAAGTCAAATTATGTTCTGATTTTACAAATTAAGCACCAAAACATCATGTTTTACAACAAATCGAAATAAAAAGCAGTTCAATACACAGTAAAATTATGTAGTAATTACTGTATTTTCGAACTTAGCAGCAAAACAGACAAGGGTTCTTTCTTTCTCCCACCCGGGCAGGAGGCAGACTGTATTGGATAATACAGAACATTGGATGAGCGAAGATTGGATAAGTGAGACTCTACTCTATATCTTTGCTACTTGGTTTGAACTTTGTATTATGACTTCTGTTTGGCCATGGGAACTACTGGGTGAGAAGTCACATTTTCTCGGGCTCAAAGAAAGGCAAGAGCAACTCCTCTCTGAACACATTCCAGCAAGAAACCTCTTCAACTTAAGGTCTCCATAAGTCAGAAATGCTGTGAAGTCATGCAACTACAGAGACAAGATGACATGAACTAGGAGAGGCCATAGTAATTTTCTTTTGTCTGAGCTTACTGGAGAGAGAAAAATTCTACCATTCCATGATGTTGACTTAAATGAGGATCACCTACATTGCACTTTGAACTCAGTTTGCAGCAGATGATGTAAGCTGTGAACAAAGGAGGGAGAATATAAAATCCAGATTACCTGCTTTGAATTGGATTATATGGCAGTGTAGACTCATATAATCCACTTCAAAGCAGATAATGTGGACTACCCTCTTTGATAATCTGGATAATATGGCAGTATATAAGGGGCTTCAGAAGTTCTGCCTCAACATTTCTCTTGAATTCTGTTGTGATTTTATGATGCAACAGTTGGGCAACATGGGGACAGATGATGAGCAAAATGAACTGATGGATGAAGTTTAGAAGGCCAGTATTTTCTACTATGGCATGATGGACTGACTTGAGCACTGGACTATAAACTCTGAAGACCAGTGTTCAATTCCCTGCTTGGATATGAAAACTCACTGGGTGGTCACACAACAACAACAGCAACAACAACACTTGTATGTTACCTTGATGAAAGTCACAAGACCCCCATAGAAAAGTGCAACGACAAACAGAACCATGAAAGTGGAAACTTTGTTCCAGACACCGTTAGCATCCTCCAGTTCACTGTATTCATCTTCGTTTTCATTACGGACATCACATACAGCAGAACCCATAATGGCACAATCCCAGGTATCTGTGGAATGAGAGTAAATGAAAAGTTATTGGAGAGATGGAAAAAATTAAAGTTTTCAAAAAATAACAACTGAAGAGGTCTTTTTGAAGGAAATGGTCCATTTATAAAACTTATTATAGTATCCATTTATTAAAGTGGGCAGAAGAGCATATCTACATTTGCAAATCTTTGCTTGATGTGCATGCACTGCAAACATTTCTATTATGTATATCCAAAATGTTGAATATACTCTTCTCTGAAGATGATGTTACAAAGGGAAGAGCCATGCATGCTACATTAAGCATCAACCACAGTTGCACATAGTAGGTCATTCAAACCAAAAACATTGGGTCTAACAAATAAGGAAAACATTTCCCACACTTTTCAAGGCAACACGCTCACCCTGAGATTCTTCTACCTCATTTTGAGGTCCTGAGAAGAGAGGACATGCACTGAGATTTGGGAAACCCACTCTAAAATAATTTTTATGTTGGCACTTGAATTTGTTTTTAGTAGAGTCAACAATTTAATGTTTGTATGATGCATTATTTCTGGTTTAATGTTTTCAAATGTGATTTTCAATGTTATTGTTTTTAATCTGTTTACATCTTGATTTCCCAGACATATAGTACAAAAATACTAACAAAATTAAAATACCTGGTGAATATAGGTTTATTTAATGTATCCATTCATGGAGTTTTCATTCTGTCTAATAATCAAGGCCTTTGGTCTTATATATTGATAAGATAATAATAAAATAATGTCCTAGAGAATTATTGGTGCACTTTGTCAAATGTAAAGGAAGACTTTGGTTGTGCAAAATTTCCATCCATTTATTGTATCAGAAGCGTAAAAGGCCAGCCAGAAAAGAAAGAAAGAAACATCTCATGGATTATTAATTTAATGTAGAACTTTAAGATACATACAAAGTGAACATTAGACAAATGAAAATGCTAGAACAGCAGACTGGTCAAACCCAAGAAGTCAAGAAAGTGGAATCATTTTTCTAGCACTGTGCCTTTAGCAGCTGGTAAGTCTAAACAGTGCAATTAAAGTGTGTTTTACCAGAGAGGGAACTGGCTCTTCTAGCTGTGATGTTTTCAGAGGAAATGTGGGCTACCAGGCATGAGTAGGTGATTCCTGTCATCCATTTGCTTGAGGGAACTTCGAGGATGTTCATTAGTGAGCATTTTTGTTTTTTGTGATCACATTTCAAACCATGGGCATTGTAACCCTTTAGTGACATCTCTTCGTTCTCCTCCTTCCACTCCAGAAAGATCTCTCCTGGGTAGAAATCTTTGGCCATGCACAGAAGGGTTACATTTGAGTCTTCACTGGATTGCTGGTGATGGAGGTAGACCTTTGGAGGCTTTATAGTGCCTATATTAGAAAGGGCAGAAAAATGATCATGAACAAAAATGGAAATATGGTAAAACCTAAACTTAGGTGCATAATAACACATGACTTTTATGCAACTTTACCAAGCATTGCTTCTTCCTAGAGAAACTATAAAATTATGTGGTCAAAATAGGTGTGTGTTGATGCCAATATATGCCAAGTCATGGGTTTGAACTCCTTCATAGGTATACTAGCACCACCACTAAGTTGCAATTCCCACAACGTTCTCTCAAAATAATGAGAAATTTAGTGGCATAAAACAAATGTGATGTAGATATATAACCTAAGAACCATCAATGTGCCCAAAGCTTTACATTTGTGTAGG